TCGGGGCAAGTTCAAATTCGACATAATGGGATAGTAAACAACGTGAGGCCTTGCGTGCCTCAACTTCGACGTCCACGTTGTGTCAAACCTTTGGCAATGGCACCCATACCTCCTTCCGTAGACCACATTTCTTGCCGTGCTCTTGGACGCAAGCGTCAGGCCAACTTGGCAATCTTGTGCCAAAGTCATGCCAGTGCTTGCTCAAGGCCCGGGCTGCCAGCGCAAGTTCGCGAACTCCGGGACATTGCAGCTTTCTGTATCGGGGAGATTCCGCTATCCAATTTTTGCTTGTCGCGCAGGATGCATACAGCACAGTCAGCAAACATGTGGCCGAAAATCTTCAGCGCGAATTGCAGGGGCTGGTGAGAAGCTTAGCACTGCAGTTTTCGCACAAAGTTTTGCCATTGATTTCATGAGGCTTTGCACCTTTTGCCATTGATTTCATGAGGCTTTGCACCATGAAGGCGTTACGGCATTGCACTTAGTTTGCTAAAGCTGTGTGACGTGCACGTTGGCATGAGAAGCCGTGCGTGTTCAGGTCGAAGAAGCCAGAGGCGTGTACGCTGTTGTGGAACATTGTCACAGCTGCGGCGTGCATCACGGCTTAACGACCCGACTGAGCCTCAGATGATGTGCATTGTACTGGGCCCCGTCGTAGTGAGCAGAATTCGTGCAGGGCATGATGAAGATGAGTATGCAAGACGGGCTACAGCAACACTCGCGCCACATGCTTGAGATCACGATGGAATACAGCACTCGTTTTCAGAACGAACTTTGACAGGCAAATCGCAGACCAACTTGGAGATGCGATTTTGGGAGTTGCCGCTTTACCTTGCAATCTGGAGGCTGGTAACTGTCCAAATAGTACCTTGTTAGCAGCAGGTGGGACGAAAGACGTTTTGTGACGTGGCAGGTGGAGCCTCAATGTTTGGCAAGCTCGTATGCACGTGACTTAGTACAGCAAACCACGCGCGGCAGTGTATTGCATGTTGTGCTTGTTGTTCGTTATTGCTGCCGAGCATTGGACATAATTGGACATGGTTGTAACGTTATACTAATCGTACGGGTTTGGGTAGCTATGACAGGAGCTCGGGCAAGAGATTTGGCATCATGGTTCGCGTGTCGGCGCATTCGAGGCGCACATAGTTGGAAAATTCGCCAATTGTGATTTGGTTAGCATTCTTGATAGGTGTATGTGTTGACACCGCCGAGGGCGGTGAAACTGTCCAAGCCTCATGCTTCATGCAAAACCGCAGATCTGGCGCTGACAAACATTTGCTATTTGAGGATTCGTGGCAGGTTTCAATTTCCAGGTTGCCGCAGCCTCATTCGAATCGCCTGTCCCAGATGTTGGTTGCGCCATCTCCACACGAGGGAGCGATGCTGAGAAGCAACTGGATCAAGGCCTGGAATTGCATCTTTTAAAAGATTTAAGGTATGGTGGCAAGACTTTGGCCCATGTGAGATTCGTGGCCCACCGTAGGCGGAACAAGTTGTGGGGTGCGATGCTTGGCTTGGTCTGCGTTCTGTTACGAGTTGCGCCGCAAGCGTTCAGTCTCAATTTTGTATCGTAGGCTACACTGGAATTGCCGTGTGGATATAGTGTCGTGCCTGGGGCTTGTGCTTTTTTCAATGCAGGTGGTATGCAGGGTAAGCATGAACATTCGACGACCACTTATGAGGCTGCTGCATTCAAAGTTGGCTTCGAATGCTTGGCCGCAACCCTGGCGTAGGACTGCGCGTCTGATGCACGTCGTATCAAACAACAGTGTTCTCTGCATTGAATCGAGACAAGACATCGTCTACATCGAAAAACATTGAGGTCGACATAAAGTCAACTAACACCAAACAACAATTACCCAAAAGACCAAACGAAATGGGCTGATGCCGCCGCAAAATTCAAAAGATCCGGATTTATTTCGGATACATTTGTTGCAAAAAAGCCGTGCATTGACCTCAACAAAATGAAAACTCGGTCGCACATCATTTGACTTGTTTTGGGTCCACCTGCCAACTTGCAGTTATATTGCTTTGGCTGCAGGCCCTACCCTTGACACGGCTTATTCCAAATTTGTTTCCACTCGCCGCGCCCGGCCCCTGTTATCTCCTCTCGGCCTGGTGCCAAGTCCGAGTGTCCACCACTGCCTCCACGAACAACCAGCTCACAACTCTACAATCTTAATTTCCACCTGCGGTTTTCCACAATACGTGGCAACGAGTCCCCTTTAGGCGCCTTCGCTTCCATCTTCACGCCTCAGCTCTGACTGTCAAATTTATCAACTTTTTGGAGCCATGGGTTAGTCCTTAGGCACCTCAGCTTCCTGCAGCAAAGTTCCAACCGTCAGACACTTGAGCTGCCCGCAGTACATTGGGTTTTTTGCCTTTTAGCACCTCAACCAATGGACCTTATGAGCCCCAGAGTCAAGTTCTTAGATGCTGTAGATTCCAGCAAAAAATTTCAACCTGAGGCTCCTGACCGTCCTTTAGACTCTTCAACTTATGAACTTCTGGCTGTCGGACGTCTCCAAACTTTTGGCGGCCAAGACTTTCCCAGACATTTCAGCTGTCTACAGAAAGGTTGCAGATGTAAACAGATCCGTTACAGTGCTACGTGTTTGGGTGAGGTGTGGGCCCCCAGACCCTAGACCCCCAATGCTCAACCTAATCACGCGACTTCCGCCCCTGTTTGACTTTAAAGTTGATTTGTTTGATTAATTTAGCAAGGCTCGAGACACATGGCTCAAGGTTGACGCAAGCAGTGCTTCCACGGCGATTGGCTGACCTGTGCCGGCCTTAAAGTATCAGAACCGACAGCCGAAAATTTTGGACGTCATGCTGAGGATGCCTCGCGGTGTTGTGGATGTGCAGGTGGGATCCGCAGTGTAGGACGAGGAAGGATTTTTCACGTGTTCTCCAAGAGGTGCTCTTGGCTGGTGGGCAGTTGTTGCCGGATTTTGACGTTGAGCTCCGACTCCCTCTCAGCACTGTTGCTCTCGATGTGTGCGTTTGCTCCTTCCGCATGAGCTTTGCAGGTTTCAAGCTCCCGGAACTGTTCAGGCAGGTGACCATTTCCTCAACCACCATCAATAACCTTACTGTAGAGGCAGCTCAGGCTCAACCTGGCTGGGGTTTTGTTGAAGCGCATGAGTTCTGGCGCTGGTTTGCAGGAGTTCAGAGGGTGATGCTGAAGAGATTGCCAGGGTCCTTGAAGCCAGAAGCACATGCGGTGGCAAGGTTAATGTTGTCCGCTCAGGTCATGCACAGTTGTGCGCAGAATGGCATTTACCAAATCGAAGGTGTCGCTGTCTTGGTGATGCAAGCTGTCTAGTCTCAGAAAAGAGAAACTCGACTCCCCAGGTCCCGCTCATGTCAGAAATCGACATGATAGTCAAACATCCTGTGATGGAGACCCAGGCGAGGTTAAGCGTTTCACAGTGGTCAGTTGCAGAGATCCTGTGTCGCAGACATCAGGCGGCCAGACTTATCCTCACGCACTGCACTGCGCAAATTGTGTTTGCTGGAGACGCAGTCCTGGGCCTAAAGTGTTACATGAAATTGCGAATGCCACTGTCACGCTAGGTATGGCTGAGACTACTGTCTGCAACCTGGGAAGGTTGTTCGTCTTTGGTGCATAGATCGTCCTGGAGGTTCCGCCGCCATGTCCTTGGCGCTTCAGTCAGAAGACTTGAAGATCTGCAGTGCTGCAGGCTTTAGGATTCTGCGGCTTGAGACGCTTCAGGTTGTCATGGCTGACTATGTCCAGCAGAATGTCGGAATACCGTCTTCAGCGCGCCCTTTGCGTGGAGAGGTCGTCACTGTTTCTGTGGACCTTGCATGCATGTGAAGGGCCATCTGCTCTCCTAGGTGGAATTGGCAAGTGGCGAAGCTATGCGAATTGACGGTCGGCATCTGAGCCTTCGCTTCGCTTTCGTGATTTGCCTCAGGTGGCAGGACAACAGTCAGACATGCTGTGGATCTGCGCTACATCAAGACGCGTGTGGAGTGATGCCTTGATGGGATCCGGGATGAATGTACTATCGTGGGAACGTGCTCAGAGCCTCGTCTGGAGTCATGCTGGCAATATGCAGAACCCAGTTTGCGATGTTTGCGCCGAGGTGTTTTTCGCGTACCTTGGCGCGGTGCACAACATCAGTTCAAGGGTGTGCAGGTGACGACCGGCAGTGACACATTGCATGTTTGCATGGGGTGTAGGTCCCCAATGGTCGGCCATTTGACTTTTGGCGGCTAGGATGGCAAGCAAGAACTGTGCAAGAGTTTGCAAAACCAGTCGTTGGATTTTCCAGTTAGTTTGCAGGCAAAAAAAGTAACAGCTCCTGTTATGTTGTACGATTGGTTCACTTATGCATACATACGAGGCAAGTGGCCTCAAAAAGGCCTCTTGCATTGAAACAGCATTGCCAGGCATGCATGTCAGCACGCATGACTTGCGCATACGTGAGTTCCCGAGAGACCCAATGCGTTTTCGTAAGTGATGGTGTCGACCAAGGGACCAGGATTCTTTTATGAGATTTCTTACAAGCTTCAGAATGTCCTGACCATGGTCTTTTATGTGCATTGCTTCGAGGTCCTTCGAGCTGACAAGCTTTGTGCTGAGTAAAGTACGAGATTTGCTTTCACAAGCTGTGTGGTTTTCTGCACTATGCCTCTCAGGACTAAACCGCAAGACTTGGACTTAGTTATGGGTAGTGCGAGGGAGGATGCAGATATCATGTCGGCTCTTCATGATGTCACGGCAATGTCTCGAAATTGAGGTTGCACACGTGTTTGGGCATGATGTGGCCGATGCGTTGGGCTGTCAGCTTCCTTCGTCTGAGCTTGTGAGGCAACGGGCCCACACAGGCTGGCAGAGAATAGGCTCCGTGCATTTATTCGGAGGAGTTGGCTGCCGGTGAAGCCGGCTCAACCTGAAGAGGTGTGCATTTGTTTTCGCATTTGTTGGCGTGTGGTATCGTGTGGCTGTAGCTGTGCTACTGTGAGAGGTCCTGCTCTGCCAGCCTTGCGGTGCCATCCTGGCTGCCCTTCGCGAGATCATCATGAAGCTGGAGAAGAATATCCAGGAGACGGAGCATGCGTCTGAGGAAACTGGAGGCCCGCGTACAGCAGGATGAGAGGAATCTGCTGACGGTTTTGTTCCCTACCTCTGGTGTTAGGCCATGTGGGGGAAGAGCCCGAGCCAGAGCAAGAGATGGATCCTGCAGGCATTTGGGCTTGCTTTAGGGCGGCTGTGGAGAATGACTTCTTGGTCTGTGAAGAAGGTGACCAACAAGCCTTTGGACAGCTGCTGGAACAGGGGGTCAACCTCGTTAGTACCTTCATGAAGACGGCCAGCCTGGTGTGGAAGGCGCAACGTGCTCGTGTTCAGTGTGGATTACGGCTGCATCATAACTTGCGGACAGAGAGGTAGACTCATCCGAGCAGGCAAGCGTCGAGGCTGGACGCATGAAGAGTTTGATAATGCTGTCATCATGAAGGATGCTGAATCAGGTGGAGAACGCAAAAGTTTTGGTAGCTGTTATGCAAGACCCACATTACGAGGAGATGGTCAAGGACTTACAGAGAAAACGCACAAAGATGCCGGCCAGCATCTCGTCATAGATATCAGGTTCAAACTTGCGAGCTTGCTTCCAAAAGCAAGTCGGCTGAGCAGTGGTCGCTGGAGAGACAACCTTAGGAAGTCATTGTTTGCAGAGCATGCGGCATCACAGATTTTCTGTGCAGTTCCTCTCGAGGTTAGTCGAGCTAGAGGCAGCCAGATCTCGCGACTCCTTGGCCAAGGCAGGTGCTGTAACATGATGCAGATCCTCCCAAACAGGAGCCATGAGCCACTGCGCAATTCGGCACTGGAGTGTATTTTGCTCTCAGTAGCAGAAGACCTGCGCTGACCAAGAGCTCGTATGTACCTTTGCCGGTAAATTGCATGATTTCAGTTGCTTGCCGTGGCATACATTGGAGCGGCTGGTATGAAGCCGCAAGCTCAGAAGTGCTCTCTGTCTTGTCGCCGCTTTGCTGGTTCGGAAGCACGCCAGATACTGAGGCCCTGGTTCGAGGCTGTCTGCCGTCAAGTGGTCTGTGGCCAAGCTACCCTACGTTTCATGGCGTATTGTCAAGAAAGAGTTTGGTGATGGCCTCTGCTGTCTGCCAGGCTGATAGGACTGGAGCAGAGGTAGATGAGGCAAGGATCATTCGCTTGAAGTTGTAGTGGCAGCAATAGATGAAGCGAGACAATGCCCAGGCAAAGTTGGTGGGTGCTTGTGGATCTACTCGCAAGCTGCAGAAGACCTTCTTGTTTCCAGAGTGTCAGCCCCAGTCAAAGCGCATAAGGTTTTTGTGTTGCACTTGGTCACGTACTCTGAGGCGAAGCCCTGGCAGGGGTCTCCTCTCATGCAACGTCAGGTGCCAGAACATGGAGGATTTGCTCTGCAAATGCGAAAGCATTTGCAGTAGGCTGTAAGCTATATTCATTGCTGAAACTTTTCCCTGCAGGAAATGGCAAAAGTGGTCAGCACCATCTGTGATGAGCTGGAGAGCTGCACAGACGGAGGAATTTGTGGGATCACCATCCATTTCCCGGAGGAGGTGCAAGCGTGGCCTTGATGTCGTCCTGGGTTTTTTCTTCTGCGGGGCAAGGATGGACAGATCCCGGCGGAGTCTGAGCCAGCTGACATGGGTGCAGTGGTTATCGAAGTCGTATGGCGTGGGAGACAGGACCTCCATGTCGCTGAGGTCCTTGCCCTGAAATGCAACTTTGCGCGTCTTCTGTGCAATGATTTGAGGTACGCGTGGTAAATTCAAGTCTTCAAAAGTGCCTCAACATCAGTGCAAGCCGAGCGTTGTTTGCGGCGTGGAAGCTTTCAAAAAGCCCGCGATCAGCAGTTTGTTGGGAACCTTCCGAGCCAGGCCAGCGCATGCAACTTCCTTGCGGAGCTTCAGGAAAGGCCAGACGCTCTGGACATGCGTTTGGGCAGCTTCCCCGATGCGATGCCCCTCGGGGCAATGCGCCAGAGACCAGGAACTTGCTTCCTGTTTTCTTGTACGGACGTCTGACTTTCTGAGGTCGCATCTCCTTACAAGGTTACCATCCCGCAGCACCTCACCAACACCTCCAGTCACGGAACATGAAAGTGCGGATCACTTGATGTCGCCAGATCCTGTGAGTTAAAGATCCGCAGCCAGGATATTCTCCTACGTGGAAGCTTTGAAATCGCCATGCTACGAGCACCAGAAGCACAGCTGCAGGCGCGCCATGGTGCTGAGATTGCAAATTAGCCTCGAGTCTGTGCAGGTAGTCATGCCTAAGACCCTGATCCCCTTGGCAGCCATCAAAGTGGAGAGCGCGGATAGACGACAGGCGTGGAATCAGAAGGCTGTAAGAAAGAGCCTCCAATTATTTATTGTGTATTAAGCGAGACTTGCAGGTCCAAACTGCGCAGGATGGTTGGTGCGCGGTTGCTTTACGGACACTGGGCTGAATGACTAAGCAGGCAGTTGCTCACTTCAGTTGTTATGTCACCGAGGCCTGGCATCCAGAAGCTTCGTTTGCGGCACGAACTCCTGGGCGCCTGGAAGGAACAGAGCCTTGGACTGTTTGACCCAGAAGATTGATCAAAGCGGAGCTCCCTTTGTTTACGTCTCAGGCATTGTGCTTGCTGGATGCATGCATGCCCAAGGTCCGTGGAGACCTCATCCCTGCAGCCATTCTTCCAGATTCCAATGGCGATGGAGCTTGCGGTTTGGATGACCCCAATAACGATTACTGGACAAGTGGGAATCTAAGCACCGTAGATGTCCCGGTGAAGAATCAGAATCGCGTGCCTGACTAGCGAGCAGGTTCAGGCTTGGGAGTATTGGATTGGCGGCTGTGGGCAGAAACCGCGCAAGGACTCGGACGGGGCGCAATCATGTTCGACGTTCGATTGCTGAAGCTATTAGGATACCTCATCGGAACCATTCGCCGGAAAGCTTGAATTCTGTGACCGCATGTTGCTTGACAAAGATGTGACCAATGTTTTTGGTGCGAGATATTTCAGCTGCAGCAAGGCTGGACGTCAGCAATGGCTGGGCACTGATGTTTATGTTTGGCTTCAAGTGGGCAATGTGCTCACTTCGATTGAGGTGTGCTTTGTCTTGGGCCAGAGCCAGTTCAGATACTCGATGGGGAGAAGAAGAAGCAGACGACACTTCAAGGGCAGGACAAGCCCCTCTTGTGTAAGATAGAGGAAAATCCTGTGTGCCCCGTGGCTTGGTATCGAGGATCCTTTGCTTGACTTTGTTTTGGAGCCGCCGTTCGCAAAAGCAAAGAGTCGCACTCTTCAGAGTCTGCTTTTTGGATGATTTAAGGTCCTGCGCGTTGAGAGATGTTGGTGCGATTCGGTGCAGTTCACAGCGCAGCCTAGGCCTAGGATACCAGATGCAACTGAGGCAGAATTGGGGCCCTGTGCTGATGGGAATACGACCAGCAGTGAAGTTGCCAACCAAAACTGGCTCAGCTTCTTTGGTTGTGAAAGCCTGTACGCTTTGCTGCGGGCAGCCAGTGGCAGGAATCCAGATTGATGTTGGTGAGGATGACTGCGTGCAGTCCTTTACAGATCGGACGGGGTGCTGCATCATCCGCGACAACTTGCACGAACAAGAGCTGCAGGTTTCTGCGACCCATTCTGCTTTCATGGATGGTTCCTGTGAGTATATCGTTCGTTCCACAGACAAATCAACTGCGGAGCTGCCCCTATTCCTGGAGCCCTTGATTCGAATATTCACCATCCCGGGTCCAGGCGATCAGTTGGCCTTGCAACTGTTGGTTGGTGATGGTGACAGTGTCTTGCTTCCAGTGGATGCAGAGCCTTTTGCTGGCACTATTTGCGATGCACGTGGCGAAGAGCTTTGGTCTGCGAGCACGGATCCAGATGCACTCACACTCACACAGTTGAAGGCTCCTCCAGACGCTGGTGAATGTTCAATAATTTGTTTGGCACATTCCGGAGTGGAGCTGAAGGGTTACGAGTGGCTCCCTTCCGCACCGCAACTTGATTGCATAACTCTCTTTTTTTACAACTGACCAAGAGTTTGCTTGCATCTCCGAAGTTGCTATGGAGGAACTATTGGCAGGAGCTGTGCGCCAACAAAAGCCTCGTATATATTTGATAGCTAGTGCCCAGTGTATAGGACTTAGCAAGTCGTGTGGGACCCATGATCCTGGTGAGGTTCGAGACTGGCACGTGTGCTTTTGAGGAACTTCTGCGGCGGCGCGAGTCGCGCACATTAGGCCGGAGGATCATTGACGATAATGATGGTTGTTGTCCTTTGTATCGTCATGCTTAGTTTTGATGCTGCTGCTGCAGGGCATGTTGCCTGGCAGGACATCTTCGGCCCGTCGTGCACGTGCGAGACCTTGAAGATAAGACTGTGGTGCTAACCCTGGCAGAGTGTGAAACTATCGAAGAGGCGACAGCACTGTTGAGAAAGAGGCTTTGCACGGCCCAAACTGCAAGCCTGACCCTGGCTGCTGAGTCAGAAGTACCAGAGGCTGATGTTGATAGATATGCCAGTGGATGTCCGTTGTTAAAGGCTTCTGCAAAACTATCAGCCGGGCAACGGTTGCGACTAATGGCTCGACTGCTTGTCCATGTATCATTCGGAAACACAACGCTGGGCGCGTCCAACGTGCACGTGGCAATTGAGGGCTCAGATGAAGCAACGACGTCTGACAGTGCTGGCCTTTGTGAGTTGATACTCCCTGCTGGGCATCACAAGATAAAGGTCGACCATGGCATGTCAAACGAGGGAAGTGACTTTGTGGAGGTCGACGTGTCCGAAGTTGATGTAAAGATGGAGATCTCTGCCCCTGCCTGCTTGTTCGTTTATTTGCAAGCACCAGACTCACAGAAAGGAGACAGTGCTCCGACCAACGTGTCAAAGCTGGTGTTGGCAACAGTGTTTCTCGAGGGAGGGTTCGAATTCTTAAAGCCGACAACCGAGATTCCTAGATTTGGTCTTGAACGCGGCCGAGGTCTGGCTCTGTGCTCATCAGGAACAGCTTCCGTTAACCGCCTGGCCAGTGGCGGGCAGTCTACTGCTGGCTGACCATCTTGGCACCCTGGAGGCTCCACTTGATGGAGAGACGCTGAGGCATCAGAAGAGGAAATGCCGCGCGAATATGACTTTTATGTGGCAGCTGCTTAAACAGCGAATTAGAGTGCCTTCGTAGTTTACTCGAGTCTAGGTGGGAAGGTTGTGTTCCCCTAGCTTCAAATAGTGCTGGTACATAACGTTCGGCAAGGTGTGAGTTCAACGTCTGTATGCATACATGGAGGCCAGTTGACTTGTCCAACGCCCTTGAGGGCAGCCGCAGGCCTCTTACCATGAGCAGCTTGTCGGCAGATATATCCTTTTATCTGTTTTTTCCTAGTCTTCTTTGCCCTAACCCGCCATGTACTACGACAGTGCCATGAGCCCCTTTGGCTGCTGATGTTGCTGTGCCCGCGAGCACTACAACTCTTCACAACTAGTTACTACTAGGACCATTATCACTACCACCAAATACGGGTAGCACTACTGCTGCAACACCACGACGACAGTAGGAGAAGCAGCAGCAGCGCGGCGGCAGCAGCCTCAACGCCTGCCGCCAGTGGTCACTATGTGGCTGACTTTAACGGGGTCGACGCGGACGACGGACGCCCCCTCCGACTTCTTTAAGGCGGTTGGTCTCAGGACCAAGCCGTCCAAAGTGCAACCGCCTGATACGAAGCACATCCTCCAGTGCGTGCTCGCCACATTCTCCGCTTCTGGGGCGACGCCGGCGCCCACCCCAAAAAGGCTCCGGAAGATCCTGGCGATCGTCCAGAAGATCCTGGACACCGACCGCTGCACCTCAGGTGCAAAGGCTGGCGGGGAAGCTCAACTTCATCAACCAGACCGTCTTCGGCAAGGTTGGGAGGGCGGCGTTGGGTCCCATCTACAGAAGGGCAAGTGCCAGCGACGGCAAGGCGGACGACTTCAACCCAGGCTTGCGGGCGGCATTGCGCTCTGTCAGGGGACTCCTTCATGACGTACCGCCCCGCTTCATTCCGTTCCAACAAGGGCGGGGTTCCGGCCGTTATCTATGCAGACGCCTTCTTCCTAGAGGGCGAAACCAGGCCACTAACCTGCCTCAGCCTCCTCTTCCGCCAGGAATCGGGTGGCAAATGGCTGGGGCTATGTCGTCACAATTGGCGATCAGGTCTGGTACGAAGGCGGCGCAAGACCTGAATGAATGGTTCGTCCGCAAATTCGATTTCAGGAGGGCCTACATCTACATGCTGGAGGTGGTCGCCTTGCGATAGTTACGTTGGCCGACTGCATCGGTGAGGCGTGGCTGGCCTTCATCGATAACGCAGCTGGCCAATGCGCGCTGAACAAAGGCTATGGTCGTGATGCCTCCGTCAATGGCATCCTTGCCGCCTTCTGGTCCATGGCGGCTCGCCACCGATGTGGCCCACCTTCTTCAGAGTCATCTCCGAGTCTCCGAGGCGAACATCTCCGACCCCATTTCCCGGGCAGATTGCACCTTGCCGTAGGCCACGGATGGCGTCAGGGGGACGCACGCCTGGAGGCCATCTGGGAGGTTAGGGCATGGGCGACTGACGACCTGGAGTAAGCCGCGGCTGACTTTGAGCAATTTTGATTTCTTCGGCGTGATGCGGGGACGAGGCGCCGAGCGCGGGCAGATGCGCCCCGGCCGGCCCCGAGAACTTCAGGCGTCTGAGGACCCCCCGCCGACTGAGCCGATTTCCCACCGCATCAAAAAGTGCCGTGCGTATTTTGGGTAGTGCGTTGCACGTTTAGCGGCATGTTTGACAGCACGCTTGTGTGCGTTGGAAGATTGAGCGATCGGGTGCGCACCGTAGCTTGATGGCTCAAACCGCTTTTTGACGCACCCGCCAAACCTGTTCAGATCATTCGTCCTCTCGGGCGTTCTTCTACTGCAACACGGCAGTGACGCATATGATGAACACAATGACAGTGACATCGGCGATTAAGACAACGACGTGGATGATTACCACGGCAACGACTACCACTTTGATTTCGACCGTGATGACGATGACTATGACGATATACTGTGAACACGACAAGTAGTATGACGTTTTCGACGACCACGATTACTACAGCTAGTCCAACTACACTACTACCATGGTGGCTACTGCTTTACTGCTACTTCCACGGCTGCCACTGCCACGGCCGCAGCCGCTGCGACACCGGCTGCTGCTGCTGCTGCTGCTGCTACTAGTAGTAGTAGTAGTAGTAGTAGTAGGCGCCCCCCCCTCCCTAGGCACTACCGTTTTAGTTAAAATTCATTGTAGATAGGTTGGGGAAGGGTAGGGGGGGGTAGTTCCGTACGTTGTACTGCGCATTCAGTATAATAGTAAGTTCGGGAATGGGTGAGGGGTGGGGTAGTTCCGTAGTGGAAAGCACCACGGCGAGGTGATGCTA